ACGTAAACATCGGCAGCAGTTCCATAGATGGAGGGCGGGTCGTTTTCAAAATGTGGTCCTCGCTTTAGCGCTGCGCACATCCGTTTTTAAAACTTGCAAAAGTTCTACGGATTCAAAGCGGTTGGTTTTCAACATGTGGTTCTCGCCTTAGCGCCTCGCACATTCATTCTAAGACTGTGCAAGAGTTTCAAGGATTGGGGGCGGGTCGTTTTCATAATGTGGTTGTCGCTTTAGCGCCGCGCACATTCGTTTCATCTGCACGCACGAAATGGGTACTGAAAGAATGGGTACAATGTCCAACACAGGATCTTGTTCATTTTGAACAGGGCTCGCTGTCCACGCCGCCGCGGCCTGAGTCCATTCGAGACAGGAGGCCGCCTGCCCAACAGCGGCCGCTGTTGGTTTGGGACAACATTTGCCGTTGGGCATTGTACCCATTTTTTCTGTAGTTATTTCGGGCGTCCAAATTTCAAGAAAATGCAAAAGATTCACGGATTGAGGGCGGATCTGTTTCAAAATGTGGTTCTCGCCTTAGCGCCGCGCGCATTCTTGTAAAACAATTGCAAGAGTTTCCAGATTGACGGCGGGTGTTCACGGATTCCCATCATCGACGTGCCAGGCATGGTGTTCTGGAAGGACTCACGATTTTGAGGGCGCAACACTTGCGATGATTCGCGGGATTGAGGTCCCAGGAGTGTCGTTTTGGCACGGTTCAGGATCGTCAAGACGCAACAGTCAGATTCATCCGTGGCGTTGGAATGCCGGGAGTAATGTTTTGGCATGCTTCAGGGTCTTCAAACGATTGTCTTCCAACGAGGCAGTTTTTTCTGTGGAAAACAACTGTAGGGGTCTATGAAGCGGGAGATTGTGGGAGGGTATATTCCAACATCGTTGGTGACTATTGGGATTACTCTGGTCCTTCTTCTTCTTACTCCTTTCCTCCCATTTAATTACCTGCCACACAGGGAACTAGTCGATGCGCAGTATCGCCGGATTCGGCCCGATGGCTCGATCGATCGATCCACTGGGCTTCTGTTCTTCCCATTCAAATCACCTCATCCCTCCACCCTTTCCTCGCTCTCTCATTTACCCTCCCTCCTCTCTGGGTTATCCTCTCCCCATCCCCATCAGGCTCCAGTCACATTCCTCCCTCCTTTCTCCCTCCCTTACCTCCCCTCTCCTCTCTCAAAGTGGGGAATGAAGGGACGCAGGTGGACGGAGGAAGGAAGGGATGAGGGAGGGAGGGATGGAAGGAGGGCGCGCGGCGCAGGAGGGAAGGAGGAGAGCAGGAGGGACGGGGGAGGGAGGCATGGAAGACGACGCTGACCTGGGGGGAGGGAGGGAGGCCAGGGCGCGGCAGGGCGGATGGCCGGGCGTCGCCTTCCGACGGGGCGACCTCTGGGCGCGAGGCCGTCGCGCGCGGCGCGCGGGGGGGGCGGGGGAGGCCGAGCCCGAGCGCGTGGGCCGCCGCGCCTGCTCGCACCCCGCGCGCAGCGGCCGCCGACCACGCGGGCGACAGCCACGACGACCACGACGGCGACGACATCGACCACGGCCACGGCGACGACGACCACGACGAGCACGACGACGACGACGAACTCACGACGACCACGACCACGACGACCGCGACGACGACGACGACGACGCCTTCCGCGGCGGCCACGACGGCTGCCACGACGACGACCACGACGACAACGCCGCAAGGGGGGGCTGCCCCTCCCTTCACGCACGCCCGCCGGCCCCCTTCTTGCCGCGCAGGGCCGCCCAGGGCGCCGCACCGCCCCCCCGCCCCGGCACCGAGCGCGGGCCTCCCCGGCGGCCTCGCGGCCTCGCGCGCTGCGGAGGTGTGGGGCCCTTGGGACCAGGGCGCTGCCGGACCGGGGCGCTCCTCGGGCCGAACGAAAGGGGGGGAAATAGGGACCCTAACCTGCCAGAGTGCTAAAACATACCACTCCAGACCCATAGATCTGTCTGGGCTGCCTCAAGCCTCGACAGGAAGGAGTAGGACGTCGACGTCCTGGTGCTATTTTTTAGCCCTCCTGGAAGCTCAGCGTGCAGCTGGTTTCGGCCCCGCCGCCGGGCCCAGTCCTCGATGCATGGCCGCCTCCCGGCGCCGGGAGGCGCCGGGACAATCAGCTACGTGAGCTGACTCTCAAGCCCCCCCTTTGTTATCCCCCACTTTCGCCCGGCCCGAGCTCCTCCAGATACAGTTGGAGCAGAACGCACCCCCGAACAGAAGCGAACAGTGCAGGCCTGTCCAGTCAACACCCAGGGCCGTGGTTGGTAAACGCAATGATGTTCGGGCTCGGGGAACTGTTCCTCTCTTGACTTAGGGTCGCGCCCAGTGGGCGGTGCTGGCGGCGGAAAAACGCCAGCAGCACGGTTGAGATCAGAAGAAGCAGCCATCAAACGTAGACGTAGGGTTAAGTCGGGCCTGTCCCCCTACAGGGGGATCTTCGTCGAAAAATGAAAAATAGTAAACAAATGCCCCCAAAAGGTTAAACAATATTCGAAACATAGTCCCCTGCCTATGTTTGGACTATTTGGGGGGGTATTTTTTTATTTTTCGTCACAATCCTCCTGCAGGGGGACAGGCCCAACTTAGACGTAGGGTCAGGAGTTTGGTCCTGGCGTGTCGCGCCGCCGGCTCTTGTCCACCACGCCTCTCCGCGACACGCCGACCCCGTCCCCAAGCATAAAGTCGGGCCTGTCCCCCTACAGGAGGATTTTCGACGAAAAATAAGAGATAGTCAAAAAATAGTCCAAAAACAGTCTGGGGACTATTTTTTGAGTAGTTTTTTGCTCTTTGGGGGACATTTTTGGTGTATTTTTTAGTTTTCGTCGAAAATCCCCTTGTAGGGGGACAGGCCCGACTTAACCCAAGCATCAAGTTCCCGAGCTTTTCCCAGCATCCTTCCCCGCGGGTCGGAGCAACACGCAATCCTCCTGTTTCGTCCAGGGCATGGCGTGTCGCTGGAGCCGCGGCGCCCCGTTGTGCGAGATCAGACCAGGGCTTCGCCGAATCCAGCTGCTGGAGTAGAAGAAAACGGCCATATGTTATTTTCCTTGGAGCTGCACTTACCGGAGAACACGCGGCGGGATATCCGAGTGCTCCTGTGATCGAATGATCTGCCCGGCTGATCGGCTGATCTGGTGATCCGGCCCGCTGATCTGGTGATCCGGTGATCCGGCGGGCTGATCTGGTGATCCGATGATCAAGTGATCCCGCTGGCTGATCTGGTGATCCGATGATTCGGTGATCCGGCCAGTTGATGATCCAGTGGTCCATGGATGCAGTGATCCAGTGATATTGTGCGGGTGCAGTTGATTTTGTCCTTCATCATCCGTTCTCAGGTTTTTACGGCGCGGGGGCATGTCAGGAAGTACGTTGGATTTTGTCCGGCGCGGTAAATTTCCGGTGCGAGCTCCAAAAATAAATTCAGTTGTTCCATGAAGTTCCCAGCGTGAGCGACAGAATTACGCGCGAGATTGCGCGCGTCGCGCTGTAAATTGCAAATTCCTGGTGCTTGAATTTGTAAAACTTTTCGCGTTCGGAATTCCAGCGTGGCGTAGCGTGATGATGACGAAGACGACGACAGTTACGTTGGTGATGATGATGATGCTGATGATGCTGCTGCTGCTGCTGCTGATGATGATGATGATGATGATGATGATGATGATGATGATGGTGGTTCTACTGACGACGGCGCCTATGTTGAAGCCCGGTTCAACGGCGGGGCTCCAGCCGCGCGCTTCGCGAGCACGGGGGACCCCCGTTTTGGGCCGCCCTTGCGGTTCCCGAGCAGGCCTGGGGGAACCTGATCGCACCCTCCGACGTCCCCGGGGTGCCCCTGGCCCGGTGGTGGCCCGACTGGGCCGACCTCCAGCTCTCAGGAGGGGAAAAAACACACAGACACAATGAATCGTCGATTCCCAGGAAATTATGGGAAAATTTGGGAGGTGGGGGGGAAGACAGAAACCCAGGAAATATGGGAACATATGGGGAATCCTGTCATTTGTGTGTATTTATTTGTGTGTCCCAGGGCCCCTTCAAACTCGAGGTCACGGTCCCGCGGGCCTCCTCTTCCTTCGCCCACGACGGCCTCCCCGCGGGACTCGCCATCTTGAGCCGCGCAATTAATGCGGGGGGGTGAAAAAGGAGGAGAGGGGGAGGAGAGGGATGGGGGTGGATGAGGGGAAAGGGAAGGGGGGAGAGAGAGGGAGGGGGTGGAGGGGCAGAGGGAGGGGCAGAGGGAGAGCGAGGGGGAGGAATGGGAGGGGCGGGGGGATGGAGGGGGAGAGGCGGGGAGAGGGAAGGACATGGAGGATTAAGGGAAGGATGATTTCTGCCACTGCCACTGCCATTACCACGGTAATGGCAGTGCACTTCCATTACCGTGATAGTTACTGGTTTGATGGCTACCCTACCGTAGTCCTACTACCGCTACCACTACCCATAACCCATAACCGTAGTGATTAGCAGTACGCCTACCGCTACGCACGATCGCCACCTTGGCGTACTTTCGAAGCTCCCCGGGGATTTTCTGGATATCGGATCTGCACACCCCTCCCTGGCGGGCAGAGTGCGCCAGGCGCGGCAGCGGAGAAGCCGCCAGGGGGTCCAGCGCCCATGTCAGAAATCCGCCCAGAGCTCCGCGAGGCTCCGGTTGTGAAGCTCATGCGACTTCTGCTGTTTCGGCCGACGGTTGCCGTTCTCCCAAGCGTCACAGTTTAGGCCTCCCAGATGGGGTCCGAGCAGATGGCGTCGGAGGATCGCGCTGCATTGCGGATGAATCGCCGATGCATCGGTGATGCGGCCAGATGTGGAGCCCGATTTTCTCCACGCCGACGGCTCCGATGCATCGCCGATGTCGCCGATGCATCGGCGATACATGTGTGATGCGGCGCGGTCCTCCGACTCCATCTATTAGGACCCGTCCAGGAGGTTCCTAGCCAGTGCCCTGGTCCATCAAGGTCCCCGTTTACGGGGCCCTGGGGGAATGAGCGGGCGGGGCCGCGCGGCGTACCGCGCCATCTACCTGTCCTCGACCACCAAGGACCGCCCGCATGCTCGCTGGCCTCTCGTCTCCTGTTCCTCTCTGGGGTTTCGCCGGTCCACCTGCGAGGTTTCCGCCGCGGGTTGCCCTTTCCTGCAGCTGCGTCTCGCCCGAGAGCGAGAGCGTCAGGGGGGGGGTCGGGCAGGCGCTTTGTAAATTTCTGGTCGGACGAGAGGTTCGAGGCTCTCGGGCGCTCTTGGCGCTTCCCTGCGGTTTCCAGCCTGAGGTATGCTCTCCAGCAGTTGGGGAACGTGTTCCAGGTGTGCCCGAATTGTTCCGGGTGTGCCGGAATTTTCAACTCTCGTGGATAGTCCGGGCTCCGGGTTGGCCGATAACCTAACTCTTTCGCTTTGGGCAGCCCCACATTTGGTCGCGAGCACCAGCATTACGTACCCCCTCCAGACCTGCGCAACCGACAAGGTCAGGCTATCCGAGGGAGGGGGGAGGGGGGTTGCCGGCTCGATGACCTAGGTGATCGGCGCACCCTGAACAAAAGATTTCATTCTATGATCCGAAACCCAAGCGGGGAGAACGAATGGGTGAGGAGGGGGGACTGGGACAGCTGGATACGAAATATGCTGCATGCAGCAGCCGGTTTCGGCCCCGCCGCCCATGCGTTTTCCTCGATGCACTGGCGTCCCCGGCCTGTTTTACGTACAGCTCGGTCGCTGACCTCCCCGGAACTTCACCGAGCCCCCCCGGATAGAAAGGCATTCCCCGCTTTTTCCCCCTGAGAGCTGATTACCCTGGGTCAAGGCAGAGTTGGTCGGAGGAAAGGGGCGGCGAGGCCGAACTTTCTTATCGCCGGGGACAGCACGAGTCAAGGTTGCGATCTTCTTATGTTGAGTAGCAACACTATTATACGAACGCGTGGCAGGGATATGGGATTCTCACCGTTTCAGCTTCCTGACTCACGAACACGTGGCAGGGCTAAGGGATTCTCACCATGGGGAGGCCCTGCCAGAGCGAGCAGGGCATTGTTATACAATACCATTTCTTAGGTGTCGTACTCCTACGAGCCCTCCAAGGAGGCCCCGCCAGAGCGAGCAGGGTATCGTTATACCAGTATCGCTACACCAGACTAACATATCATTGTACATACGGGTTGCCGGTCCCAAGCCCTTGCGTTCCCTGCCTTCGCCTCCTCCAACGCCGCGAGGTCCAGCATTCGTTCTCGCGGACTTGCATGTGTGTTTTTGTTTGTGCATGTGTAGTGTTGTGTGTGGCGTGCGCAAAGTTCATTTGCTGCACCATGTTATGAGACGCATTGCCAGGGAACTTGGCGATGTGGTGGGGCGTGGGGTGCCTGGCGCAATGTATGGCGCAGCTTTATGGAAGGGGGGCAGAACAGGCAAGTCGCGGTCTGGATGGGCGCTGGGTGTCTGGCGTCATACATGCCGCAATCTATGGAAGGTAGACTGAGTACGGAGACCGCAAGTCGGTGTGGTGCTGGTGCAGCGTATGGCGCAACGCATCACTCAGAGCCAGCGGGGGGATCGCCATTCGGTGGGGCACGCCGTTTCCGTGGCCTTTTCGCCCAAGGCATCTCGGGCCCAAATGCCACTTGCTCGCTCGCGCCACAGTCGTGAAGGCTTCCCCGCCCCTCGCTCCGCAAGTCGATCCGTCCCTCCACAGCGCGGCGGCCCCGCTTCCTCAGACCGCGGGCGCCCGTCACTTGGCAGCGCGAGGCGGGGGAGGACGCCGAGGACTGCGAGGAGCAGCCGCCTCCGGCCATGGCTTCGCCGCCCGCCCGGAGCCCAGCGGACGCCGCCCCCGCTGCCGGTGGCCAGGCTGGCGTGGCGAGCGGCGTGGGCGCCGCGCGCCAGAGGGCGGCCGCCGTGGGCGAGGACGTGGTGGCCGCGCTGGCGAGCTTCTGCAGCACGCAGGCCGCGAGCACCCTCGAGTCGCCGCTCGGCGGGCTGAGGGACCACCTGCGGCAGGCGGGGGACGCGGTGCGGGGCGTGCAGGGCCAGGTCGCCGCGGCATCGCGGGAGGCCGCGGCGCGCAGCGCGCAGCTGGAGCGGACCGTCGCGGGCATGCACACGCACTTGCAGGCCCTCGAGTGCGCGCTGCGAGCGCGCGCGACGTCGGAGGAGCTGCAGCAGCTTCAGCGCGCGCACGAGGCCCAGGAGAGGGCCGCGTCGGAGCAGGCCACGCACCTGCGGGAGCAGCAGGGCGGGCTGGCCGAGAAGTGCGGGGAGCTCGGGCAGACCGCCCGCTCGGCGGCCGAGCGTCTGCAGCGCCTCGAGGGCGCCTCGGTCGGTGCGGGCAAGCGGGCCGACGAGCTCGAGGCGGCGCTGCAGGAGAAGGCGGACTCCCGGGAGCTGCAGGAGCTCCGCAAGGCGATCTCCGAGGTGCAGGCGAGGCTGTCGGCGCTGGACCGCGGTCTGCAGGAGAAGGCGGGCCAGGCGCAGGTGCAGCAGCAGGCGTCCAGCATCGCTGGCATCGAGGCGGCGCTGGCCGACGTGGCGCTCGCGATGCAGGACAAGGTCGGGATGGACCAGGCGCAGAAGGCGGCGGGGCGGGTGGACGGTCTGCAGTGTCAGGTGGCGGCCCTGGAGGCGGAGGTGCAGCAGAAGGCCGGAGCTGACTACGTGCAGCAGCAGGTCGCAGGGGCCCTGGCCGAGGCCCAGAAGAGAGTCTCGGCGCTGGACCAGGCCCTGCAGAGCAAGGCCGACGTCGCGCTGGCGGAGGAGCTGAAGGATGCGGTCGGCGACCTCCGTTTCAAGGTGCCAGCCGCGGAGCAGGATATTCGCGCGGCGGCGGAGCGCCTCCAGCAGGCGGAGGGCTCGATCGTGCGCCTGGACGGCACCGTCGCGCAGCTGGATCAGGCGACCTCCGAGGTGCAGGCGAGGCTGTCGGCGCTGGACCGCGGTCTGCAGGAGAAGGCGGGCCAGACGCAGGTGCAGCAGCAGGCGTCCAGCATCGCTGGCATCGAGGCGGCGCTGGCCGACGTGGCGCTCGCGATGCAGGACAAGGTCGGGATGGACCAGGCGCAGAAGGCGGCGGGGCGGGTGGACGGTCTGCAGTGTCAGGTGGCGGCCCTGGAGGCGGAGGTGCAGCAGAAGGCCGGAGCTGACTACGTGCAGCAGCAGGTCGCAGGGGCCCTGGCCGAGGCCCAGAAGAGAGTCTCGGCGCTGGACCAGGCCCTGCAGAGCAAGGCCGACGTCGCGCTGGCGGAGGAGCTGAAGGATGCGGTCGGCGACCTCCGTTTCAAGGTGCCAGCCGCGGAGCAGGATATTCGCGCGGCGGCGGAGCGCCTCCAGCAGGCGGAGGGCTCGATCGTGCGCCTGAACGGCACCGTCGCGCAGCTGGATCAGGCGATGCAGAGCAAGGTGGCCGTCAAACAGATGCAGCAGTTCGAGAGTGCCATCATTGGCACCCACGCGCAGGTATCCCAGCTGGAGCAGAAGATGTCGGAGAAGGCCAGCACGAGCCAGCTGCAGCAGCTCAAGAGCGCGGTGGCGGGCGGGGAGGCCAAGATTGAGAGCCTGGAGCAGGCGTTGCAGGAGAAGGCGGACGCCGAGCAGCTCCAGCAGGTCCGCGGCCTCCTCTCGTCCTTCGAGGCGAAGATCTCGGGCGTGCAGCAGGCCGTCCACGAGAGGGCGAGCTTCGGGCAGGTGCAGCAGGTGAAGAGCATGGTCGTGGGCGTGCAGAGGCAGGTGTCGGTGGTGGAACAGGGCCTGCACGAGAAGGTCGGCCCCGACCGGCTGCAGGCGCTGAAGAGCGCCCTCGCGGAGTGCCAGGCCCAGATCGGCGGCCTCGACCAGACTCTGCAGGAGAAAGCCCCACTGGCCGAGTTCCAGCAGCTGCGTTCCTGGTCTGCCGGGCACGAGACCAAGCTCGCCGCCATCGAGCAGGCAGTGCAGGAGAGATCGGAGGCCGACCAGAAGATCTGCCAGCTCAACGAGGCTCTCCTCATGCAGCAGGCCAAGGTCTCCAGCATCGAGCGCGGCGTCTGGGAGGGCATGGACTGCGTGCAGGTCATGGACGGGGTGATCACCGCGATGAAGACGCAGGCCAGCAACCTGGAGCGGTCCCTGCAGGACAAGATCGGCAAGACCGAGCTCCAGCAGGTCAGCGACGCCTGCGCTTCCGTCAAAGCCAAGGTCGCCAACATCGAGCAGGGACTACGGACCGGTTTCGATCGCGTCAGCGAGGTGGAGAGCAGCGTGGAGCGCGCCGCGACCCAGCTCGCCAGCCTGCAGCGCGCCGCGCAGGGCAGGCCCAGCCCCCGCTCGGCCGTGCGCGGCGGACTGTCGGGCATCGACTCGGGGGGCGACTGGGCGTGGCCGGAAACCGGTCCCGGTGAGGGCTCGCGCTCGCCGAGGAGGTGAGGGCCGGCCCCCACAGACGACGGCCGGGGGGGCGCCGCGCCGAGGGGGCGTCCTGGGCCGTCGCAGCCCCGGCGCTCCTCCGTGCGGCCCGCCTTGGCCCCCTGCTCCCTCCCTCCGACTGCACGCTTGGGTGTCGGGGGTGGACGGAGCCCCCACCCGGACACGTCGATTCGTGAATTGTCCGTTTTCGGTTCTCGAGAGGGCGCCGCGGTCGTCATTTCCCAGGCGCGTGCCCGCCAGATTTGGGGTCCGAGGTTGTTTTCACTAAGCCACGTTTTACTAAAGGGAGGTCTGTCCATCCCCCAGGGTGACCTTTCGACGTAGCGGCCTTTTGGGGTGCGGCCACACTGGGGTCCCCCGATCGCCGTGCGCGCTGCGATAGTAGCCTCGTGCGCGCTTGTGGTTGCCCGGCCCCCGCCCCCCCCAAAGCCGCGCACAACAGGTCACTCTTGCCCAGGGTCACCCTTGCGTGTAGCCGATCCCCCCCCCTCCCGCCCCTCGTTGTCGCTCGCGCGATGGGCGCCGCTGCCTGGGCGGCGCGCGGCGCCTCGTTGCTGCGGCCCCTTGCGCGAATTCGGCCCCGCTCCGCGCCTCTCTGCGGTCCCTGCGGGCGGGCACTTCGTAGGGCTGGGGCCCGGCGGCGGCCCGGCAACAAAAAGGTGCGCTCAGGGGCCGGCGGTGCCAGGGCGAGAGCGGCTAGACGCCCGCCCTGCACGCCTCCTCTTCCTCCTCCTCCTCTTCCTCCTCCTCCTCCTCCTCCTCCTCCTCCTCCTCCTCCTCATCATCATCATCATCATCATCCGCTTAGGGGTTCAAGAGACGGGGGTCAGTGCAAACGGGAGCCAGTCAGAGCGCCGTATCTTGCAGGATCCTGCAGAGCCAGGGGTGCACTGACCTGGGCTTGGGTGCAGGATCCTGAAGGATCTTGCAAGTCCTGCTTGACCCTTCCCCGACCGCTTCCTCCTCCCCCTCCTCCTGCTCCTCCTGCTCCTCCTCCTCTTCCTCCTCCTCTTCCTCTCCCTCACTCCTTGCCCCCCTCATGGGGGTCGTACCGTCATCGAGGCCAGGCTGGCTGCGACGTGCCAGGAAGAGCTTCGGACGCGCGGCATTTGACAGTTGGAGTTGGAGTGTGCCTGGGTCTGGTGGTCCAGGCTGGCTCGAGGGCGCCAGCGCGTGCACAGAGCGCGCCACATCTGAGCGGCCGAGTCCCTTCTCTTCCGCCTCCCTGTCCCTGCTGCTGCTCCCTCCCTCCTCCTCTGAGGTGCCTGGGCTCGGGCATGGCCGCAAGAGATGTGCCCGCCGTGGCACCAGGATGCCGCTGGCGAGGGACGGCCCAGAGGCAGCGAGTGCCTACGGCGTTTCTCCCTCTTCCCCTTCTCGTCCTCCTCCTCCGCCTCCTCCTCTTCGTCCTCCTACTCCTCCTTCTCCTCCTGCTCTTCGTCCTCTTCCTCCTCCTCCTCATCCTCATCCTCCTTCTCCATTCCATTTTGGCTCAAGTAAAATGCGCTTCAGGTCAGGTCCTGATTTCTGGGGGTCGAGCTTCAGATCCGCTCCCAGTGCAGCAGACTGGGGAGCATCGCCCCTTTCTCGCTTTCAGACCAGATTTAGTGCCGACCGCAATGATTGGTGGTGGTGCCTGTCCTTCGGCCCCCGCGGGCGCAGGTGGACCTCAGCCCCGTGACCATCCGATGGAGCCTAGCGGTGCGGAGGGCGACATCTTCGGCGGCCCCCCCCCCTCAACGGCCTCGGCTTTCCGCTCCTTTCGATGCGGCAGCCGCAGCCTCTCGTCATGCAATGCAAGAAGGGCTTGATGAGGGACAAGCGAGGCTCCTCCGAGCCATGGGTGGCATTATCAAGGAGGCAGCTGAGGTGCAGACTGGCAAGATCGAAGAGATCCAGAAGGACGTCACGTCGGTCTCCAGGGAGGTGCGTTCCCTCAGTTCCCGTCAGCAGGCTTTAGAGGCTCGCATGGACGCCTATGAGAGTGGGCAGCAGCAGAGAGGCGGAGGAGCTTCCCCAGCCTCAGGAGTTCATACACCTTTGTCTACGACGCTTTCGGCGGCTATCTCAGCAGCGTCCACAGCAGTTGTCATTCCCATGGGTAAACGCAAAACGACATGTATTGGCGGCTTCAAATATGATGCCAGTGACAAGCTTGTGGCACAGATCAAGACCGAACTCGACAGCGACAGCATCCTCTACGAGCGTGTCGTGGGTACTGGTTCTTATGGTGAACGTGTGAAAGTACACTTCCACACCTCGGACCAGATGTGGGTCTGCCTCAAGAAGATGAAAGGCAGAAAGTTCAGTGGTGGGTCTCTTCGTCAGGCGGGCCGCACAGCACTGTGGCACAACATCGACAAAGTTGGCTGGGAGATTGGTGTGAGCAAGCAGCAGGTGAAGGCCGTGGCGGAGCTCAAACCTGTCCTGGCAGCGCTGTTCCCGAACAGCCAGCAGCACAATTGGGACGCGGCCTTCGACATCAATGACGACAGGGGCGAGGTCATCTTCCTGCCGATGGCGTTGCCAGGAAACGCTCACCAGGGTGGCCCCATCAAAGTGTACGACTGCGACAGGACCACACACAAGATGAAGATCCCGCCCACCGCGAACGCGTTGCTGCAGGACCTGGGCATCGACCTCAAGCTCCAGACACACCTCAGTGAGATCCACGCTGTGGCGGATCCCTGAGGCGGCACTTCGCTTGCTATGCGTAGATGGCGACAGCGACGATTGGTCGACCATTCCTGTATTCTCTCTTGGAATGTCAGAATGATCTCGCTGAAGGGGTTGCCAGTTTGTCTACGCGATCTTGAGAAGGAATTCCCATGGCGCATGTTCCTTTTACAGGAATGCCTCGCCCTTCGCCGAGCAGAGCCTCCAGAGCAGATCGACGGACATCGCCTTATTGTGGTCCCCCCAAGTGGCAAGGACAGGCAGAATGCGATCGTTGTCCATCGAGACTGCGGCTGGAAGATCTTGAGCGTGGTCCAGGGCACCCGCTACGTCGGCGCGTTGTGCGAGCATCCAGAATTCAATCGCGTCCTGGTGGGCTCGGCCCATCTGCACCCGTCAAAGGACAGGGCCCTTTTGATGGAGAGCTTGCGCGAGATTCGTCAGCACGTCCTCTCAGTCCCGAATGAGACTAAGGTTATTATCGGTGTTGATGCTAACGCCCACCTCGGTTCGGTCGCTGACTCCGATCTCTTTGCTGAGCATATCGGCCCTTGCGCTCGTTCTCCTGGTGAACCCCCTGTTCTGGATAGACTAGCTTGGAAGGCCAAGGAGCTATTCATTACCCTGTGCGATCTAGATCTTCGGGCTGAAAATACATTCCATTGGTGCAAGTACGGGGTTCACACTCACATCCCTGATCCTGGACAGCGTAGAGACCCCAAGCAGATAGACTACGTTCTTGCACGGCACTTCTCTACGGGTACGGTCAGTTGTACGGTCGATTTCTCTACTGCTACCACTCCTGATCACCTCCCTCTACACCTACGTCTGCGGGTACGCGATCCTAGCAGTAACTGGACTCTGACAGCCGCTTCCCCTCCTCCGCCTCCAAAACCAATAAACTGGACTTGTTCGGATATCACGGCTTATCGAAACGCTCTCGACGACGCCCTCGAGGTCGATCGTACTGTGCACTGTTTCTTTCGGGGCGACGAGGCTTTCGGGCTCTTCCTGGATGGCTCTTTCTACGACGCACTACCTAGGTATCGCAAGCGTGCGCGAGATCACCTCCGAGGATGTGCTGGCTGGGGCTTTGCACTATTTCCCTCGGCGTCTCCGACGGCAGGCTCCTCTCCCTTAGCTTCAGCGTGTGGCCCAGTATGTACCCGCCCTGAGGACCCACTCTTCGCGGGGGCGTGTAGAGAGCCGAACGACACGGCAGAGTTGACGGCACCCATTGAGGCCTTTCTGTGGTTGATTTTCTAGGACTCCCTCCCCGACAACATCAGGACGATCCCCCCCCCCCCCCCCCCCCCCCCCCCCAGGCCAAAATCAAGATGATCTTCGACTCTCGATATTGCCAACAGTTGATCTGGGGACGATGGCGGCCTCGATCTAATTTGAACCTGGTGTCTGTCATGCTGGCGCTGTGGCAGGACGTCTGCAGGCGCTACCAGGTGCGCTTGCCAGAGTGGCGCAAAGGTCACTCACAAGATATGGGAAACACGGCGGTCGACCTACTTGCCAAGGAAGGAGCGGGCCCTCGGTCCACGCACCCTGCCCGAATCACTGTGCGACATTACACGCCTTCCTACTGGCCGCGAGAACCCTGGAGCAAGCTGACGGATTCCTGGACGCCGCCTCCTGGGGAAGAATCGACCTGGAAGATTCCACCGTGTTTCGCTCGTCGGCTGGAGGCCGACCCTATCCCGACCCCCGCCTGCCTCCCCCTCCGCAAGAGACCCCGTCACCGTCTGTCCGACCCTCCCCCCTCTCCGCTCCCTGCCCCCGCCCCCGTGACGCCCCCTCTGGAGCCCGCTGAGGAAACTTTGCAGACCCTGTGCGGACGCCCAAGGACGCCCTCTTCCCTCACTACGCTTTCTGGCTGACGCCGTTTCGACCGCCGCCGCCGAACACGGACGTCGACGCAACCGGAGACCCCCCCCCAAAGCCAGAGAAAGAAGAAGACGAAATCATTCGAACCCACCTCGAGGCTGTCCGCCACGACGCAGCAGCTTCGACACTTTTACTGCACGGCCGAGTCTCTCATCCGCCGCCAGCTGCAGCAGACTAAGTTCGCGTACGAGTGCGACTGGCTTCTCCCCAAAGGTCGTGCAGATCGAAGCGTCCCGCCGCCGACCTGGCAGGGGGCCATGTTTAACGAGCAAGGCGTCCTGGCGACAGACCCCCAGGAGATCATAGACCTTGCCGAGTCCTTCTTCGGAGATTTGCATCGGTCAAAAAACGCCATGCAGCTCCCCCCATGGATCCAGAAACGCTGGGACCGTTCGGCCCTTGAGGGCCTCGTTCAACTTTCTGGCGCTCGAGGTCGGCAAGTATTCCTTCGTATGAAACGTGGTAAGTCATGCCCCCGAAGTGAGTTACTCGTCGTCGAAATGTTCCTGGATGCCTCGGATGATTTCTTCGAGATCCTCGCCTCTCCCTTCGAACTTAGACTCCTGAATGACCCATCGATGG